CCAAGGTTGGTCAAATGTCTTGAAACTGTTAAACGGGAGGCATTTACTCCAATATCTTCTAATTTAGAAGCAAGAGAATTAGCAGAAAGTGATGGTTGCCTTCGAATATACTGCCCAATTGCTCGAGATGCTGCTGGTGTTATTTTTTTGATACGTCCATTACCACCTTTATGTTGACATTCCCAGTTTCTTTTATTTTTTTAAGGTTTCAATAGATAGTTTTAAGTGGAATGTTTGTTAATGAGTATATTTTCGAAGCATTGCATATTCCATGCCTCCAGAAATGTAATATTGTTTGTCATTGTGTTTCTTGCTTGGATGGGGCCATTGGAAAAATACAATTTTTATTATTAGGTGGGAAATTTTTTTCACAGAACGATATTTGACTCAAATTTAGCATGCATCAAATGTATCTTATTAAATTCTTATATATAAAAATGATCTGTAGAATTTTTTACGATTATATTTAACTGTCATATTTTCATAATTATAATGCTTATCACATGATTAATACATTTACATTAATAAATATAATAAGAAAAAGTAATGATTACCCTCAAACTACGAATCATATAAATTTGGAATAAAAAATTTTCAAAACGAATATTCCTTTTAATTCTTTAATTTTTTCTATTTCTTGAGACATGGGAAAAAGTTATTGTCTGGAAGGTCATTCTTCTAAGGAATTATGTTCTGGTCGACGAAATTACATTAATATTATTTTAGGAACATGTAATTTGTGCACTAAAGAACATTTTATCCAAGAATTTAAAACTTGGTCTAGTGGGAATGTTAACATCGATAAGATTATCCAAGAATCTCAAACAAGTAATATTTTCTTTAGGTTACAGTGGATACCTTATGATAATTTTCTAAATATCGAACACATAGCAGACAGTGGTCGTGGATCTGTATATTCTGCCAGGTTAGAAAATGGAATAAAAAGGGAATGGAATTTTATCAAACAGGATTGGGAATATTATCATTCAATAGACAATAAAGTTGCTTTGAAAGAAATAAAAGATTCTAGACATGATATAGTCGAATATTTGAAAGTGGTATGTTTCTTTATATTTAAAAACTAAATTGAACTGTTATTAATATTTTGTAATTTATTAATATGTCTTTTAATATTAAGATAATGACTATTAATGATCATGATAATGGAAATATTGCTAAATATTATGGAATTTCAAAAAATCCTTCCACACATAACTACATTTTTGTTACGGAATTATTTGATGGAGATTTAAATAAATTTTTAACGGAAACTTTTTGGGATTTAGGGTGGGAACAAAAAATAAACATATTAGATTCAATAACATGTGGTCTTAGAAGTTTACATGAAAAAAGTTTAGTTCATAGTGGAAATATTTCAAATTCCACCAAACACGGTATTGTGTCAGTTATAGATTTAGATTCATGCAAATTAGAAAATGATTTGATTTCGATTACTAATGAAAAAAATAACACAATTTATGGATCAATTCCATATATTCCACCTGAGGTCTTAAGAGGAAATAAATTTACAAGGGAGGGTGATATTTATAGTTTTGGTGGAATTATGTATGAAATAATTACTGCACAACGACCATTTGCTGACCAAGCACATGATACTTATTTGATAATGGATATATGTAATGGTGTAAGACCAAAGGTTCCTGATTTTATATTAAATTGGATTCCAGAATGGTATCTAAACTTGATGTATCGATGTTGGAGTGTTAATCCTTCTGAACGTCCATCTGCTGATGAATTAGCTGGGTTATTTTGGGGGGTATTAGAAAAACTTGAGGATAGTATAGTAGATAATGATGTTATGCACCAACTTAAAATTGCTGATGAAAATCAAAGAAATACATCAAAATCTCAAAAGCAAGAATTATTTGAATTACTTTCATATTCAAATAAGTTACATCCACAATCATGCTATATTGGCCGATATATTCATACTCTTCATGGATTGCAAGATTTATTGGAAGAAATAAAATCTGGAAATTCTTCAGGTATATTCTTAGAACAATTCCAATAATTTTATCTTAAGAAATGATCGCAAATCATTTAAATTTTTTGAATTTTTTAATTTATAGATCCTAATTTATTAAAGCCCAATGAATCAATTATTTTAAAGTCCAATTCTTATGATACTGTTCTAAAGAATTAAACCTATTTATGAGGATAGGGTTTAATATTTCAACCTTTGATTGGATTTGATTCCAAAAATTTAATGAAAACAACATTACAGATAAAGAGCATAATATAACATTTATTATTTTTATATATTGGAAAGTTAAAAAATAAATAAAAAAAATAAAAATAAAAGATAAAAGTAAAAAAAATAAAAAAAAAAAAAATAGAAAAACTTAATCTAATATTAATATTATCTTATTTAATTTTTAGTTTATTGTTATTTAATTTTTATCATAGGAGTTGATTTTATAATTATATTTGTATGGAATGGGTTCATTTATTATGCCGAGATCTTTATGGGTGGGTATCCGAAAAATGCTTTTATATCTCAGCTTTTAATAATTTTCAAGTTTATTATAAGAAAGATGTTGTAAGTAATAAGTTTTCTAGAGGAGAAAGCATGAATTTTTGTGTAAACCCAATAAATAAATTATATCAAATTACGTATATACCTTATTTAATCCATTTTATTTATTTTTTCGTGTGCTTAATAAAAAAAACTTATCTTTCCTTTTGACTTCTTGTGGTACTATACCATAAAACACGATCACTTACGTCGAAAGGCATATTCCTTTAGCAATTTATTCTTTCCCTATTTTAACAAATATTCTCAAGTATTATTAGTTTCTAATTTAATTACAGAAAAATAAAAATAAATAAAAAATATATTCTTCATGCGATATAACTGATTTATGAAAGAAACATTTAAATCGAATCATGTTATATTAGCCGAAACGCTATCATTATATGATTTATTGGAAGAAATAAAATATTGGAATCTTCAGGTAATATTTTTGGAACAATTTATTTTATGGATTTAATTACAGAATTATTTGAATTTATAAAATTTATAGATTTTAATATAAAAAGTCCAATGAATCGAACTATCTTAAATGCAAATACCTATGATATCTACCTCAAATGTAATAACTATCATATAGAATTAAAATTTATAATGAGGACTTTGATCATATTAATTTAAATAAAAACGGTATTTCAGTTAAGGAAAAACAAAAAAAAAAAAAGAATGATTTAGGTTTTCGTTTGTTTATGAAATTCTAATCATAGAAAATAATAAAACCACAATGAAATCCTAAAAGATTATACCTTATGAATCTTTCATGAAATAGAAACAATATTTTATAGTATTTTTAAACGACTGAATCGTGAAATTTTCGACTTTACGCAGACTCAAAATTTACATCACATTTAAAATCTCTCGAATTTATATAAAATATATTAAATTTCGAAATTTATTCTTTTTAAAAACTATAGTTCTCAGCATAAATGGAAAATATATATTATAATGAAAATGGAATAAGGTACAAATGGGGTATCAAAAGTCACAAGGCAACTAAAAAAATTATTAAGTTTAAAATGCTAATGTAGCACAACGGGTGACCTAATTAGATTCCCTCAAAATATTGATAGTAATTACTATTACACTTTAATAAAATTGACAAAAAATAATCTTTGAACGTTACCCATACCGGATTCAATTGATATTAAAGGTAGATGGCAACTATCTTACAAGAAATTGTAGCTAGAATTATTATCTACAACTTTAATTTGAACAACCATTGGTAGTATCTAGTGAATATTTGGACTTTACTTAGGCGTGAATAAAACGGCCGAAATTAATTAAAAATTAAAAAAATAAAAAAAAATATGAAAATATTTATCAATCGTTGAAAATATGAAGTTTTTATTTATTAGAATAGTAATAAAAATAATTATAAGTAACATTATAGCTGAGAATATATAGCATATTATGTAAAGTATTTAGACATATTTAGCGATTAATTAGCGATTAAATTCCAGAGAATAATTTTCGAACGTCCGGCGTACAGCCGTTGATATTAAATTTAATTCGTAAGTAAAAATTCTAAAAACTTTACAAATGATGCTAAATTTATGGCTATAAGATTATTTAGTAATACATTTGTTATATTATTATTAAATAATGAACTTTAATATGTAGTAACTTTTGATAATTACTTTCGGATTTTTAATATCAAAGATAAAATGATCGACAATAAATTTGCCCATGGGCAAATTTCTAAGGCATTATTGTCGATCATTTTACCATTGAATTCAAAAAAATAACTATCAAAAGTTACTACATATAAATATTCATAATTTATTCGTTTATTTTAATTAAATATATCTGAATACTTTACATAAGATTCTATATATTCTCAGCTTTAATATTACTTAGTACCATTTTTGTTAGTAATTTAGTAAATAAATAAAAACTTTTTTTTATGTAGAAACTATTGACAATTATTTTCGAATTTTTTTTTTTTTTAAAAAATTTTTAAAAAATTTCGGCCGTTTTTATTCATGTCTAATTAAAGTCCAAATTTTCACTAGATACTACGAAATGTCGTTCTAATTAAAGTTGTAGATATTATTCTGGATACAATTTCTTGTAAGATAGTTGGTATTTACCTTTAATATCCATCGAGTCCGGTATGGGTAACAAGATTAAATTTTTTATTTTTTGTCAGTTTTATTTAAAGTAATTACTCCACATACAGTATAAGAATTCAATATATGTCATATGATAGCTTTAGTTTAGAGGAATCTGATAAAAAAAGTTCGTGCAATTTAGATGTTACAATTAAATTTTAAATTTAGTTATTTTTTATTAAATTCCGATCTGAGGTGCAACATAATCAAAAAAAGTAATGATTAGCCTCAACCAATAGAATATTTTCAAAAACGAATATTCCTTTTATTCTTTAATTTTTTCTATTTCTTGAGACATGGGAAAAAGTTATTGTCCGGAAGGTCATTCTTCTAAGGATTTATGTTCTGGTCAACGAAATTACATTAATATTAATTTAGGAACATGTAATTTGTGTTCTTGCGAACATTTTATCCAAGAATTTGAAACTTGGTCTAGTGGGAATGCTAACATCGATAAGATTATCCAAGAATCTCAAACAAGTAATATTTACTATAAGTTACAGTGGATACCTTACGATAATTTTTTAAATATCGAACACATAGCAGATAGTGGTCGTGGATCTGTATATTCTGCCGAGTTAGAAGATGGAATAAAAAGTGAATGGAATTTTATCAACCAGGATTGGAAATATCATTCAATAGACAACAAAGTTGTTTTGAAAGAAATGAAAGATTTTAAATATGATACAGTTGAATTTTTGAAAATGGTATGTTTCTTTATATTTAGAAACTAAGTTGAACCGTTATTAATATTTGGTAATTTATTAAGTTGTCTTAATATTTTCACATTAAGATAAAGAAAATTCATTGTTTTGATGACTATGACTTTATTGCTAAAAATTATGGAATTTCAAAAAATCCAACTACACAAAACTACATTTTTGTCACGGAATCATTTGATGATGACTTACATAATTTTTTAGCGAAAACTTTTTGGGATTTAGGGTGGGAAGAGAAAATAAACATATTATTTTCAATAGCATCGGGTCTTGAAATGTTACATACAGAAAGTGTAATTCATTGTAACCTTCATAGTGGAAATATTTTAAATCTTACGAAACATGGTTTTGCTTCATGTATAGATTTAGATCTATTTAAATTAGAAAGTGAATTAATTTTGAATTCTAATAACAAAAATAGAAAAATTTATGGATCAATTCCATATCTTCCACCTGAGGTATTAAAAGGAAATAAATTCACAAGGGAGGGTGATATTTACAGTTTTGGTGGAATTATGTATGAAATAGTTACTGCACAACGACCATTTTCTGATCAAGCACATGATACTTATTTGATGATAGATATATGTAATGGTGTAAGACCAAAGGTTCCTGATTTTATATTAAATTGGATTCCAGAATGGTATCTAAAGTTGATGTATCGATGTTGGAGTGATGATCCTTCTGAACGTCCATCTTCTACTGAATTAAGTGATCTATTTTGTGAAATATTTGAAAAATTTGATGATAATATAGTTGATAATGATGTCATGCGACAACATAAAATTGCTGATGAAAATCAAAAAAATACATCAAAATCTCAAAAGCAAGAATTATTTGAATTATTTTCACATTCAAGTAAGTTGCATCCTCAAACATGTTATATTAGCCGATATATTCATACTCTTCATGGATTGCATTATTTATTGGAGGATCTCAAATCTGGAAAATCAGCAGGTAAAATTTTTAGAATAATTTTCAATAATTTTGTTTCAATAAATAAATAATTAATTAATCATGAAATTTTTATATTTACAGATCCTAATTTATTATTAAAGTCCAATGAACCAACTGCTTCTGATGTTAATACTACTTATAATATAAATTATTAATGAGGAAAAGGAAATTCAAAAGCAGGTATCTGATGAATCAGCTACAAATTTTCAATATTTATAATAAAGTTAAAAATAAAAAATTTTTAAATTCAGAAAATTAATAATAATAATAATAAAATAGACGAGAAAACATCGAATTTATAATATTCCGATACATATAACTGTTATTATTTTAGGACATTTACATTTCTATACTATAACAATTTATAATTATCATAATTGTATTGATTTATATTTTTCGTAACAAAAATTTCGTCATATTATGTAATCCATTTTTTTTTTGAGTTTGATATTGTGGGAAAATAAAAATCATCATTACAATTTATTAATATTTTTATGTAATTTATTATGATTTTTATAATATAAAAAATATGAAAATGGTAGTAAATTTGATGATAACTTATATTTTTAACCTTTAATATTATACGTGACATGTCGAAATCATTTAAATCACTTCACATGAAAGCATATTCATCATTTGTCATTATCATCATATTCCATCTTTGGATCGGGCTTAGATTAATCATTTGTCGTAAAATATTTACAAAATCTTTGAATAGGCTCTTTGAACCATTTGTGATGGAATAATTCCAGTATTTGATCGTGTAAAAGTGTCTTTGTTGTTGTTGCTGCCGAGTCATCTGAGATGAATACTTGACTATCGTGTGAAGTTCCAGTATGAGATAATGATTATCAAATGAATTATGATGTTGGTATTTGACTCAAATATTGTTATTATTAGGTTGCGGATAATGTGTCGCTATATTTGATTTTGAGTTGGAGAAGGTGACAAAGAAGGTGTTGATCGTTAGATTGAGATTGTATTGAAGTTTACATCAATGTAGGAGATAAAGTGACTTGTGATGATATTCGTGAGTTCTTCTGCGTGGAGGAGATAGTAGTAGATGCATCGCGATTTCATTTTGAATAATGATTTGTATTTAGAATTATTTTGGGATTCAATAATTGTAGTTGCGGCGATAAGGTCCGAGACAAAAATCAAATTTTAATCTGAATATTTGAATTCGAATTCAAATAATTCAAATGAATCCATTTCGGTTTATTTTTTTCATATAATCATTCATAATTCACCAGTTTCCGAGATTCAGAATCATACAGAAGTTTATTGTTGATATTATTTAGGCTCTATTAAAATTTGAATAGTTTTCGCCGAGTATGAAATTCATTAATACCTATATGTTTAAGATATATTATAAGTAAATATAAATATTGTATTAAGAATTAATATCTTACTTGCGCGCGATGCTTTTGTATCATCTAATTTATTGTAACATCCTTTTCCATCTGGATAAAAATTTAGATATTCTCTTGTTGCTTTTTAATTCTTGTTCATTTTAGAACTTGTAATCTCGTGTTTTATCATTGCATCACGATATATTAGTGGACATCAATGGATTCTAGAAAAATAAATAAATAAAAATTTAAATAAAAAATAATTTAAAATAATAATAATTTAAATAATAATTCCAAATTAATAGAATCTAAATAAATAACCTACTTTCTCCCTTCTCTTTAAACAGAAAAATAATCACGCTCAAATCTGAAATAATATATTATTAATTATTACGATAATTTATAGAATATTTTGATTGAACTTACTCCTTCTTTTATCAATAACTGAATGAAGAGATGTCCCACAGTTTGCAGAGTTTTGATGACGAAAATATTTTAACGGACGAAACTTTGATTAGAATTCTGCTATTAAAATATATTAATAAATTAATTAAATAATAAAATAATAAATAATTGAAATATTTATAAAGTTAAGAATATTAAAGATACTTCATCTAACGTGAATATCATTTGGTAATGTTTCACTTTAAACTATCTCGTTCCGATTCAGAGGAATTAAATATTCTTTATTACGGGAATTGAGATCCAAACCTAACTTTCGGTGTAACAAAGTTTTTTAATTCATTTAAATTATTTTTTTCATTGATTGATTGTGAATCATCAAATTGTTGTTTCACTAAAAAAAAATTTTTCTATGTTGTAAATAGAATATATCATAAGTTAAAAAAAAATTTCAAAAATTGAAATGTGTTTATATAAAACTGTTAATGATTCTGACTCTCTATTTGAAATAGTTAATTTAACAATATTTTTATATTTACAAATAAAAGGATTTCCATTGGGTGAGAATGTAAAATCATGAATTTGAAAAAGAGCAAGTTCATCAGGAAATTTTAATAAGCGACACCTGCGAAAATTTCCGGAGATTTTCAGTTGTTTTTTATGTTTTTTCGACTTTCATAAAACATAGAGCGATTTTCTACTAAGGTGCTTCTAAAACAGAAAGAAAGACCTTGTCCTTGACTACCAAATGGTATGTGTTTCATTCCGATAGCTGTAATATTTGCAGTTTAAGTAAAAAACTTCCATAAAAAAAATCGTGCAAATTTTCGCATGACTTTTCATGGACTTTTTTCTTTAAACCACAATAACTCCATGAATATCGATGTTACTGGGATGAAACTCACATGCCGGATCGGTTAATAAAATTAATAAAATAATTTAGCTATATAATATCCTTTGCAAGAATTATTTCATCATTCTTTGCACACGTAAGACTTAATAAAAATATTGTTGATTTCTGGAGATTCATTACTAAACAAGATGTCATTTCTCAAAAAATATACTTTAAAAAAAAATGAAGTAAACAAAAAAAAAAAATTAAATCTTTGCAAATTATTTTACAATAACAATTCTCAAATATATTCCTTTTATTTTGCGTGTCAATTACACAAGTTCCTTATTAAGATAAAAAAATAAAATCAGAAAAAGCAATGATTAGCCTCAAACAACGAATTATATAAATTTGGAATAAAAAATCTAATTCCTTTTTAATTTTTTATTCCCATGTCTCAAGAAATAAAAAACAAATTAAGTATTGTCCGGAAGGTCATTCTTCTAATGATTTCCTGATAAACCAAACAGCATTATTTTTGATGAGGGAAGATGTTATTTGTGCACTAAAGAACATTATATCCAAGAATTTGAAACTTGGTCTAGTGGGAATGCTAACATCGATAAGATTATCCAAGAATCTCAAACAAATAACATTTGCTTTAGGTTACAGTGGATACCTTATTATAATTTTCAAAATATCAAACACATAGTGGATAGTGGTCGTGGATCTGTGTATTCTGCCGAGTTAGAAAATGGAATAAAAAGGGAATGGAATTTTATCAACCAGGACTGGAAATATCATTCAATAGGCAAAAAAGTGGTTTTGAAAGAAATAAAAGATTCTAGATACGATATAGCTGAATTTTTGAAAGTGGTATGTTTTTTCTTTATATTTAGAAGCCAAGTTGAACTGTAATTAATATTTTATAATTTATTAATATGTCTTTTAATATTAAGATAATGACTATTAATGATCATGATAATGGAAATATTGCTAAATATTATGGAATTTCAAAAATCCTTCCACACATAACTACATTTTTGTTACGGAGTTATTGATGAAGACTTGCATCATTTTTTAGAGAAAACTTTTTGGGATTTAGGGTGGAAAGATAAAGTAGACATATTATCTTCAATAGCAGTGGGTCTTGAAATCTTACATACAGAAAGTATAGTTCATTGTAACCTTCATAGTGGAAATATTTTAGATGGTGCTGATTCAGCTATTATAGATTTAGATTTATGTGAATTAGAAATTATTTAATTCTAAATGCCAATAACAAAATACCAAAATTTATGGATCAATTCCATATATTCCACCTGAGGTGTTAAGAGGAAATGAATTTACAAGGGAGGGTGATATTTATAGTTTTGGTGGAATTATGTACGAAATAGGTACTGCACAACGACCATTTTCTGACCGAGCACATGACACTTATCTGATGATAGATATATGTAATGGTGTAAGACCAAAGGTCCCTGATTTTATGTTGAATTGGATTCCAGAATGGTATTTAAACTTGATGTATCGATGTTGGAGTGATGATCCTTCTGAACGTCCAACTTCTACTGAATTAAGTGATCTATTTGGTGAAATATTTGAAAAATTTGATGATAATATAGTGAATAATAATGATATGCGACAACATAAAATTGCTGATGAAAATCAAAAAAATACATCAAAATCTCAAAAGCAAGAATTATTCGAATTGCTTTCTGATTCAAATAAGTTACGTCACAATCATGCTATATTGGACGATGTATTCATACTCTTCATGGATTGTATGATTTATTGGAAATAATAAAATCTGGGAAATCTTCAGGTATATTCTTAAATAATTTTATTTAAAAATAATCGACTACAAAATTTTAATTTTTTTTTGAATTTTTAAATTTATAGATCCTAATCATAATCTATTAAAGCCCATGAATCAATTATTTTAAAGTCCAATTCTTATGATACAGTTCTAAAGAATTAAAACCTATTTGTGAGGATAGGAAATTCGAAGTCAAACGAAAAACGAACATTCTCTAATATTTCAACCTTGGATTCCAAAAATTTAAAGAAAATGTCAATATTGATAAAGAGGATAATATAACATTTATTTTATCTATTATTTTTATATATAAAATTTAAAAAATAAAACATGAAAAATAAAAAATCAAAAATAAAAAATAAAAATAAAAAATAAAAATAAAAATAAAAAAATTAAAAATAAAAAATAAAAAATAAAAAATAGAAATAAAAAATATTATGAAGATATTAAGGTAAAAAAGACAATAAATTATCAAATTAATTAATTAATTAACTAACTGACTTAACTACAGAATCAATAACTAAATAAAAAAGTTCATTAATTCATTATCTAAATTATTTAATTCATGAGTTTTTCTAATTTTACATCTTTGATTAATCCATTCCATAATAATTTCCACCTTATTAAAAACTCTTTAAATCGATTAAATTAATTAATTAAAATAAATTATAAAATTTATTAAATTAATTAATTAACTACAGAATCAATAACTAAATAACAAAATTCATTATCTAAATTCATCAATTAGTTAATTCATAAGTTTTTCTAAATTTAAATCTATTGAATTGATTAATTCATTCCATAATAATTACCTTTTCATCCAATGACTGACCACCTTATTAAAAACTCTTTAAATCAATTAAATCAATTAATTAAAATAATTAAAAATAATTAAGAATGAGAATTAATACATTTTTTACCAAATTCTTCATCTCCACTTGTCCATTTATCAAACTCATTTAGAAATTTGTTTTCGAATTACATGAATGGCACCGCCTGCTAGTACCGTAGTTTCTTGACACAATTTTTTTTTTATTTCTATTTTGTATTGAATTTTTTTATTACATTCCATTCCTATTCGGTAGAGACACGGATGTGATCTTATAAATGATTCCGTGTGAAGAAAGAAGCTCGTAAAGATATGCTATTAACGTGACGAAAATTAAATTTTATCAAGATTAAATAAAGAACAACAATAGAGTATTTCGTAAAAAAAAAATCGAAAACAAATTCAAAAATAAACGCGTTTTCATAAACTGTTATTAAACTTTTAATGATTCCGATCCTCTCTTTAAAAAAATGCAAACAATTATCATCTGTTTATAGTTATTTAAAATTTATTAAAAACCACAGAATATGTAAAAGAAATTATTGATCCAAAAATTTTTTTTTTACAAATAAAAACATTTGTGAATCACAAATTTGAAAAAAAGCAAGTAGTCGTAGGTTTCGTAGGTTTGTACCTTTTAAATTTAAATAAATTTAATAAATAAAAATTAAACAACCTATCTATTAAAACCAATGTTAATATGCCTATCATGATGTCTGGGATCTCTTCAAGATGATCAAGACACCACTTGGGGTTTCGGAGGTCCTTTTGATCATCAACTAGACTTTTCTATCATAATTATACTATAGTAAATATGAATTCTAATACCATTCTAAATATTATTTAATTAATTAACTATCAAAAATAGTTATAATTAAACATATATATGATATGTCAATTTAAAAAATTCAATAAAATAAACATGCTAAGTAAGAATTATAAAATAATAAAACAATAAAGAAATTAAATAAATAAAAAAAACTACTAACACCCTCAATTAACATTAGAAGTAGATGGTTTATTGGACTTTATTAAATTAGGATCTATAAATTTAAAAATTTGCAATTAATTAAAAATATTTGAAATAAAAATTATTTTAAAATATTACCTGAAGATTTTCCAGATTTAAGATCCTTCAATAAATGATGTAATCCATGAAGAGTATGAATGTATCGGCTAACATAACAAGTTTGAGGATGCAACTTACTTGAATATGAAAATAATTCAAATAATTCTTGCTTTTGAGATTTTGATGTATTTTTTTGATTTTCATCAGCAATTTTAAGTTGTC